TGAGAAATGAAGTTCCTTGTAGCCCCACAGTCAAGCAAGGCTTTGATCCTGGTTCTGTTAATTTGAGGCTTGAGCATGATCAGTTCTGATCTCTTCTTCCTCTTCTCCTTTAACTGGAGATGAAGGGAATAGCTGCTGATTAAGCTCCTCCTCAGACGAGGGCTCATCAAGATAGGGCTCAATATAAGAGTAGATTGAGTCCCTTGCAGCCTCAGAAAAATCCGGCGCAGCAGCTGATTCATCTCCTGAAGGAGATGAATACAGTTCAACAGGGCTGGCTGCAGTCTCTGCTGGCCTGCTCAGTTTTTTGAGTGGCTGCACTTGCTGTGGTTCAGCCTAGGGCAATCTTTGACATAGTGATTGCCCTCACACCTCAAACAGACCCCTCTTTCCTTCCTCTTTTGCCATACACCCTTTGGGATTCTCAGATCCCTCCAAGGAGAAGAGGAAATGTCCAAGGGACTGGCTGGGCACTTGGCAAACTTCGGGAGGTTCTGCTGTTGCGGACTACCGGGGCGTTTGCCTGACCCCTTAGGACTGGAGGACTTTTGTCCCTGGAACTGCTTGCCTCCTATGAGAGCAAGCAGTGTCTGGGCCAGCACCTGAGCAGCCTGGTCTGCTGATGTCCCTGCACCCTGGTCAGCTGGGGGAGTAGATCCTCCCTGGCTAGTGCCTGCAGAGTCATCATCAGACTCCATGGCATACAAATTCCCCTTTCCCTTCCTCCTACTCTGGGAAGAGGGGTTGCCTCCCTTCTGGGGAGTGGACTGGACATGGAGTGTGGCCTCCATGTCCAAGGCTGCTCTGCCAAAAGATCGCCAGTCCTTGTGTCCGGCAAAATACAGGGCCGTGGTATATTTTTCAGGAACTGCCCTGATGAACCAAGTCAGTTGGTCCCTGTCAGACATCTCCAAACCGGGAGTAGAGGTAAGACGCTCAAATTCTGCATAGAGCTTGGCCAGGGAACCCCTGTACTTTGTCTGGCCAAGACTAACCAGCTCGTCTGCAGCTTTGCGGGCCTTTTCCTTATCTGCAAATCTCGCCTCCAGGCCCTGGAAGATGGTCTCTAAACCCACTGCAACAGCCCAATCCGATAACTGCTGCTGAGACTTGGTGGCCTCAGAGGTCGCCCACTTCAATGCTGACCCCGCTAATAGGGCCACAGTGGACTGCACCTTGTTGACCTCTGGGCAGGTGAATCCCCTCAGATAGGACTTCATGGAAGCGATCCAATCTGACACGTCCACTTTGGCATCGTCGCCAGTGAATTTGTCAGGTTGCATCATCTTGGGGAAACGTTGCTCCTGCTGGCCTGAACCGCCAGCACCAAGTTTCAATTCCTCAGGGACAATCTGCTGCTTTTTAGGCGAAGCAGCCTTTCCCTTGGGAGAAAGGGGTGGTGTTGCAGGTGGAGTAGAGACCGGTGTGGGTACGGGTTTGATTGACTGACGAGGGGTAGAGGTAGGAGAGGTAGTGAGATGTTGGTTGATTCGATCCAGTGACTCTACAATAGAAGTCTGCTTGGCTTCTACTGTAGTCAAGCGGTCTTCTAATGCAGCAGCTCGGTCCATCCAGGCAGTGAGAGCATCCCTGATTGACGTGAACTCCAAGCGGATCCACTCAGCCAGTTTCTTGTTGGTGTCGTTGAATCTGTCATCAGATTCAGCGGCCAACAAATGCTCTGCCAGCACTGCCTGCCTGGATTCTGCCTGAGACTTTTTATCTCCCTCAGCCTTTTCTCTCTTCAATCTCTCAATTCTCTTGCGGCTTTCTTCTGCAGCCGCTTCCTCCTTCTCAATCGCCAGCTCAATGGCGTTTTTGGGGATAACGGGACCTTTGCCTCTGTCCTCCCCGGGACCGCCAGAGCCTGCACCGTCAGCCATACCCAAATGTATTATTTTCCCAAAATAAAATAAAAATTCGGATTAGAGTTCACACACAGAACAACAAACCAATCGGAATCAGACTGTTCTGTTTACTCAGTTTTAAGAGAATGGTTAAGACAGATGGGAGAATAGTGCTTAGTGTAAGTAGGTGCTCAGGGAGATTGCTAGCAACGATCAACAACAAAATCAACCAATGATTTCCTTTTTACCGCACACAGCAACCTAATCAAAAATAAAATAACCTTTGATCAAATCCTTTCCGGATTTTCCTTAGAACACCAGCACAATTAGCAGGGCGAGAAATTYCGAGATCACGCAAGAAAAAAATAAAAATAAACTGCCGGATATTTCAATTTGCATGGAAAGAGAACGACGTCCGGACTGACAAACAGGCAGCACCCTCTAGACGACTGACAGACAGTCAGACTGACAGACTGACATCAAGGGAACTGGTCGTCGGAACGAACTCACTCGATCAAGGTCTTGATTGGAGAAGGTCGTCGGTCAAACCATTGACCGAGATATAGGGGCCTGGCTGACACGACGTCGGTCTGCGCCCAGGCAAAATCCTCTCCACCATTTCCAATCCACCTCCTCAGGTAATTCGCCGATCAATCCTGCTGCAAATTGATATTTCCCCAGTGGGGTCTTCAAATCCCGCAAACGGGCATCAGGCAGTGCCTGTCACTTGAGGGCCGCGAAACCCTCAGGTCAAACAGCGATGCCGATTAGGGTTGACGTCCTAGTCAAATACCGCTGACGTCCGTTCAATCCGTGAACCGCTCCACTTTTTTTTTTTTTTTTTTTTTTTGATCTCGTTTTCTCTTCGATGCGC